GGGGTTTATAGGGTTTAGGGTTTGGGGTTTATAGGGTTTATAAGGTTTATAAGGTTTTTAGGGTTTATAGGGTTCGGGGTTTAGGGCTTATAAGGTTTAGGGTTTAGGGTTTAGGGTTTATAGGGTTACGGGTTTATAGGGTTTAGGGTTTATGGGGTTCAGGGTCTTTTGGTTTCAGACTTGGTTCAGGGCCGTTTATGCTCTGGTGGGGTTTTGGACTCACGGTGCTCCCTGCCTTGGAGTAAGCTCAAGGTGTTGGGGGTAGGCTAGTGATGAGGGCTAGGGGCCTCGGGGCTTGCTATTTGGTTGGACCCTACACCCCAAACCCCCAAACCCTAAACCCCAAACCCAAAACCCCAAAATCCTAAACCCAAAACCCCAAACCCAAAACCCTAAACCCAAAACCCAAAACCCTGAACCCAAGAAAGCCCTAAACGGCTTGGAGTTTGGCGCTTAGCTTGGGGTTCCGGGCTCGGGGTTCGATTCAGGCTAGGATTGCGGCGTGAAGTGTATTTAATGTACTGGTCGGGACTTAGGGTTTCGTGTATAGGCTGTATAGGGTTTAAGGATTAGGGTTTCCTGTTCAGGGTTTAGGGTGCGCGTTTGGGACTTCAAGGGGAGGGGAGTTGTAGTTTGCACTTGTAGCGCACGCCCTGGCTGCCCTATCTGCCACAGCCGTCAACTTTTTATGACATACAGGCTTTGCTGCAGCTTTCGCAGAGGTCAACCTTTGTACCTGCGCCAGCGTCTGTGTGCCAACATGGGCTCCAGGTTCCACAGCACGCTCGGCATAGAATAGCATACCAGCAGAGGTGGGAAGAAGCTTCTTGTTGCTTCATGTGGGTGCCGTCACGGGACTAGGACCGTTCTTTGCAGCTCCATAAGCCCCTAAACGTTCAACCCTATCAACACCCTATAGCATAAGCCGCCCTACAAGGCCCAGTGGCGCCGTGGCCTCTTCAACGCCACCCGGAAGGCCGAGCTTTGGATTCCGCCGGGTGCGTCACGCGCGGCTTTCTGCAGCAGTCGCTCCGCGTCCAGATAACCGAAGCCAGGCTCTGCTGCAGATTCCTGGGCTCTAATGGATATAAGGCTAGTTAGGGCTTTACACGGTTTAGGGTCTGGGGTTTCGGTTAAGGAAGGTAATTTTCAAGAGTTACCACAACTTGCGTTGACCTAGATGAACTGTTGTCGTAATGTTGACTTGATTGGCCCAGCTGCCTCGTCGAGGTCGACCTCCTTGGTGCCCTGCAAAAGACGTGCCACTTCCAAGTGGCCTCTCGCAATGGAGATCTGAATCGGGGTCGTGCCCAGGTAAGGCGTCTTTTCCATGTCTGCGTCGGAATGAAGCAGCAAGCGGACGACTTCCAAGTGGCCTTTTGCAGCAGCAATCCACAGAGGCGAGATACCCGAGATGCTTGTCTTTTCCTTATTTGCACCGGCCTGCAGGAGCAGCTGGACAACATCCACATGACCTTTCCGTGCTGCAAACCAGAGGGGAGAAGCACCTTCGTAGGTCAGATCAATATCGGCGCTCGCGTGCACCAGCACTCTCACAGTCTCTGCATGGCGCCTTGCAGCTGCTAACCAGAGCGGGCTGGCTCCTCGGAAGGCCCTGTCCCTGTCCGCGCCGGCTTCCAGGAGGAGCCGTGCACAGTCGCTGCTGCCATTGCGGGCAGCGGTGGCCAGGGGTGTGTCCCCATCGTCGTCGGCAAGGTTGGGATCCAATGGTTGCTCCAAGAGCATCTCCATTCTCTCCGCCAAGTCCTCACGACTGGCAGCCAAAAGCGCTTGAACCTCCTCCGCCGCAGCCTCACAGAACTGCAGAATCACAACCTGGAGGTCCAGGAAGAGGCCCAAATCCTCAGCTCTGGCCCCAGAAAAAAGCAGAGTTCCTCCATACATAACTATGATATGTTCTTGTAGAAATACAGGAACGGGAATTCTGCCGAGGATACTAAGAAAACCACTAATTGATAACATTGATGAAAACACTAAGAAATTGAAAAAACGAACTAAAAACAATGATAACTTCAATGATAACTGATAACAATATCAGATTGTACAGTACTAATTCTAGTACTACTACTAGTACTAGTACGAGTACCAGTAGCAGTAGTAGTGGCAGCAGTAGCAGTAGTAGTGGCAGCAGTAGCAGTAGTAGTAGTAGCAGTAGTAGTAGCAGTCGCAGTAGTAGTAGCAGTAGTAGCAGTAGCAGTCGCAGTAGCAGTAGCAGTAGCAGTAGCAGTAGCAGTAGCAGTAGCAGTAGCAGTAGCAGTAGCAGTAGTAGCAGTAGCAGCAGCAGCAGCAGCACTGGCAGTTGTTGTTGTTGTTGCTGCTGCTGCTGCTGCTGGTCGTCGTCGTCGTCACAACAGTATGACTCGCAGAGCGACTCGCATCCGAGGCTCCGAGAGCTTCTGGCAGTCCTCCAGGAGGTCTCCCTGGCGGAGCAAGCGCAGCCGGAAGCGCGAGGCGGCAAGCCGAGGCTCGAGATGCACCTTCCAGGGATCTTCGGGCGGAAGGATCTCCAGACTAGGCCTTGGGGCATAAAGAACCCTAGATTAGGGTTTAGGCTTTAACGATCTCCAGATTAGGGTTTGGGGCTTAAGGCCCTAGATTAGGGTTTAGGGTTGAACGATCTCCGGATTAGGGTTTGGGGTTTGAGGTGAGGGGCTTTAGGGCTTTAAGCTTCAGGGGGTGACTAGAGGGGCCACTCTACTGCATTGTTGTGGGGCTTATGGGCTTTTAGGGTATTGAGCCTATAGGGCTTTTGGGCTCAGGCTGTAACATTGTGAGTTTAGATGGTGCGGGCAGTTTCACTTCCTGGCCTCTGTTACTACTGTATCTAGAGCTGTAGTATACGAAACTGCCCCCACCCTAAACCCTAAGCCCTCATATGCTGTGACATACCCTTCTGCTAAAATAGACCCTGATCGACATCATCGATTGCGGTAGACCACTAAACGCACGTCATACACAGATTGGCCTGACTCAACAGCAAAAATGAAGGCGCGGGCCCTGTAACGCCATAATCAGGCTTGAGTCTACCTAAAGTTGGACCTAAAGTAGAAGCCAGAAAGCTCATCGACCTCATACCCCTAATATGAAGTATAGAGAATCCCCGCACTCATCATCCCAAATCCGTGTTCCAAGTTTCCGGGATTCACTACACACCGAACCATGAACCTTAGCCTTCACCTTTAGCCTACGGCCCAATAAACCAGATCCCAAAGCCCGATCCCGAAAATTGCATGAGCTAGTTCTAAGCCCTAAACCCTAAACCCTAAACCCTGAACCCAAGTCCCAAGCCCTAACCTCAACTAAATCCACTCGAAACCGAAAGACTCCTCGCCCCAAAATCACGGGATGTCGTGCCTTAAGGGTCCTGACATCGCCATCCAGGAGCTCGGTGGTCTCCAAGCTGGCCACCTGGGAAGTTCTTTGATTCAGGGTCTAGGGTTTAGGGTTTAGGGTTTAGGGTTTAGGGTTTTTAGGGCTTAGGGTCTTTAGGGTTTTAGGGCTTTAGGGTTTTGTGGTTTGTGGTTCAGGGATTGGGGTTTCGGGTTCCGGTTTCAGTGTTCAGTGGTTTGGGGACTACGGCCACCATTGATCCGGATTCTTGCTCAGGAACCTAAGCTGAAGTATACTAAGAAAAAAAGCATATGACAAAGCGGTATCATTGCTAATATTACTTACGATGGACCCCTATTATCCTTCTTTGCGGTACTACTAATATTACTTACGATGTATCCCTATGATCCCTGTTTGTGGTGGCTTGAATGAAGGTTCCTCAGCCAGAAATAAGCCCTCCGGTGCCGCCTCCTCCCCAGAGATTTTGCGAATGCGCAGCCACATCGCCTGAAGAAGTGAACACTCCGCAGAAAGAGGGAACCCTTAAGGGTTTAAGGTTTAGGGGTTTAGGGTTTAGGATTTAAGGTTTAGGGTTTTGGGTTTAGGATTTAAGGTTTAGGGTTTTGGGTTTAGGGGTTTAGTGTTTAGGGGTTTAGTGGCTTAGGGGTTTAGGGTTCAGGGTTCAGGGTTTAGGGTCGAGGGATTTGGGGTTTAGGGAGCCTAAACACTCAACCCTCAAACCCCCAACGGTCTAGGGCCGTGGGTTCAGAACATGAACTTGAGGCTTTAGGTATCGATCTCGGGAGGTGTGTATTCTTAAGGGTTTAGGGTTTACGGTTTAGGTTTTAGGGTTTAGGGTTTAGGGTTTAGGGTATTTCTCCAGATCCTGAGTTTCAGGGGCGACGACCCCGGTGCAAAACGGTGACGCTCGCAACTTTTCTGCCTGGACGGCCTTCGTCCCCTTAAGCTGCTAGCAACTTCTGTACAAGCGCTCAAGGGCAAACGGATGACTGCCTTCATCGAGGCCAGCGTAAAACAGTTTTATGTGCAGGCGGTTTCGGGCACTGCCCGATGTACTGCGGTGCTAGTTTTCTCTTGACAGCTCTCTGACACACACTCGCACTGCTCAAAGCTCGTTGTATAAAGTGCAGGGCGCATTGTTTCCGAAACTGCCCTTCGGCAACTTGGAACCATCGTCTCAGAAGATCCTACGGACTCGGTGTGTGTGCTCCGAACCCTGTCATCGTGTCTTGGGGGTTTGTCGGAACCCATTGCACCAAAAAACCCCGAAACCCTGAAAATCCTGGCTTAAGGCCATGAAACCTAAACTCCTAAACAAACCATGAGCCGTGAAGCCCTGGCAGCATGACCGCTGGAGAAAAAACCTTGGGGAAAAACTAACTACCGGTGCTGCGAGTACCGGCCGTGGCTGGACTTCTTGTTGTCCATATGATTAACTAGTGCACCCTAAACCCCAAACCGTAAACTTAGCATCCAAACCCTTGCGCTCTGATCGGGTGCAAGGTTTTGTGGAGTTGTGTGACAGCAGCCCTGGGGTTCGCAGTCAAGTGTGGAGTTCGGAAGTTCGCTTTAGGCAAAGTGCTGAGGATGAGCTGCTGTGCCTGATGCAAGGAGGTCCGAAATCTTACAAGACTTTCAGACAACAAGGAACTCAAATCTACACCCGGAACAAGAGTTCAAGAGTAGAGACCCCTACAAGGGACGCACCCAACTTTCAGTACCCTCCTACCCATCGGTCCGAAAGTAGAATCTGCCTCAAAAGGAAGGTGTACTCACAGAGTCCACATGGGGTCATCAACCCACAGACTGGGAATCTGCCGACACAAGAGGCCAGCAGCTTAGCGTCATGCAGAATTGGAGCCCGGTGCCCAGGCTTAGAATGGCTCAGAAAACTTATATAGTACCGCAGTGTAGGGTATGAGGTTTTGGGTTACAGGGTCATGTATGCTGATTATAACTATAACCCACCATTGCTTGTACCATTATCACAAGTGGCGCAAGTGCTGAGACGCTTGTTACCCCTATTCGTGTTGCTCTTGCTAACTGATGCCTCAGCTGGTCTGACAGCAACATGCCATCACGTTTGATTTCTTTTGAAAAAACCACAATTTGGAGCAGCCATCAACGAAGGATGAACATAACTCATAACTCATGTAGGCATATTTACTGCAAATATTTTCAAAATCGTAGATTACCGACAGCCGGCTTTCAAACACAGCTTCGGCTTCGATCTAGCGACGGGAACTTCGAAAGATCAGAGATACCCCCTAGACTCCTACACCCTAAACCCTAAACCCGAGCTACCGTCAATGCCAGGTGTTTCTGCTCGGCCCATGAAACAGGAAATCCACGCCCGCGAAGCTTTCACACGGATGGATTTAGGGCTCATGGGGCTTAGGGTTTAGGGGTCTGGGGTTTAGGGGTCTGGGGTTTAGGGTTCAGAGGTTTAGGGTTTCGGGGTTTAAAGTTTAGGGGCTTAAGGTTTATAGGGCTTATCATGAGAGGGAGCCTGCTTGAACGAGGGACACAGGTAACCTAGATTTGGCCACAGAAGCCCTCGGGCAATTTAAGGCTCCACTGGGCGAATTACTTCGCAGGCCGTGAAGCCCAACGGTACGTTCTGCCGTATTTCTCGCTGAACAGGCACAAGGCAGGAGCGGCAAGCAGACGAGGGGGTCTCTTGCTGGAGTGCGGGTTCGAAGCCCGGGCTGAAGACTCTAGACCGTAAATCCTAAACCCAAAAAACCCCAAAACCCTAAACTCTAGACCTTACTCTGTTTCCTTTTGGGGGGGTCTGGGTTTCAAGCGCTTCAGGCTTTGGGCTTCAAGAGCCTAAAAGCTTTAGGGCCTAAACCCCACATCCCTAAAGCTTTAGGCTTTTGGGCTTGGGGCTTAGTTTTGGTAGCAGCAGCTGTTCTGCTCACAGGCTCTGGGAAACAGGTTCTGCAGATGCCTCCCTGCACGTCTGTACAAGACCAAAGCCCCGCTAAGGCATGGCAGTTCACAGAATTCGAGTCGAGCTTCTCCAACCCTAAACCCTAAACCCTAAACCCTATAAACCCTAAACCCTAACTTAGCACGGGGCCTGGGAGGTCCAAGGCTTCGAGTCTGGAGTTTAAGGGCGAGATCCGGGCGCCGGGGACACGGTGGAGGATCCCTCCTGTTCGGTGCACGAAGACCTGAAGACAACAAGCAGAGCTCCAGAAAACAGTCTCCCAGATTTGGTAGTCGTGGTAGCAGAGTTAGGACGAGGAGTCGGGCAAGGAGCAAAGTAGCAGCAGTCGCAAGTGCCGGGGGCTTGCTCTCGGAAGTGCCTTCGGAACGCACCTTGCGGGAATGTGGTTGTTCTAGGATTCCCAGACGAAGGGCTTTGTGAGCTAGCTAGGCTTGGTGGGTCGGGTGCAGCGACTCCAAATTCTGAAACTCTTCCCAAGATTAGGGAGATTATGAGCAGATCACATCTAGAAAGAGGTTGACTGCATTGTCACAGCACTTCGAACGGATCCGAGCCCAGAGGCTCCACAAACTTGCGCAGCGCACGGGTCGGGGTCACAGGGTTCAGAGTCGTAAACATCGAGCGTAGTCATGCTGATGATGTTGACGATGATGATGAAGACGATGATGACAGTTTTGATGTTGATGTTGGTGTTGATGTTGATGTTGGTTTTGTCGGTGATGACCCTGATACGACGATGGTAATGATGATAGTGATGGTGAAGGCGATGATAACGATATTGATGTTGATGTTGGTGTTGATGTTGGTGTTGACCTTGCTGTGGGTTTTGTTGTTGTTGATGATGATGATGTTGACGACTATGGTAATGATGGTGGTGATGATGATGGGTGATGATGATGATGATGATGACGAAGACGATGATGACAATGTTGATGTTGATGTTGGTGTTGATGTTGATGTTGGCCTTGTTGATGATGATGATGATGATGATGATGATGGTGATGATGATGATGATGATGATGACGATGGTAGTGATGATGACGACGACGACTATGACGAGGATGAACATGATGAACATGATGACGATGATGATGATGATGCTGATGATGCTGATGATGATGATGATGATGGTTTGCGAAGAATGCCTTAAGCATACAGTGGCAAACTAACCGAAACAAGGGATGAGCGGGTGTGGTTTCAAGATGATTCTAAGGGCCAGGACTTGTACATTGTATGTGTTGCCTGCGTGGAGAACTCTTCCTGAAGGTGCGAGAATGGATTGGAAGTACTGGTGGTTCCGGCTTTAATGGAAGGGCCCCTGCTGGTCTTTGGAACTGCACTTTCATCAATCCTCGAAGTGCCATGGCGAAAGCCTTCCTCCTCCCCTGCTTCAGGGAGTAGGACACAACCTCTTTCAGAGAAGCTTGGGGACACCGACGGAGGACTGGAAGGAAGCCACTTTGCTTGCATAAAAAAGGGCGACTAACCGAATGCTCTCAAGCCCTGGCCACAATCGCAGCGGGCAAGGTTACATAAGGTTTTAGGGGTTGCGTGCTGCGCATTGATCACCTCTAAGCCTTCATGAATCTGCTGCCGGAGCCCTTGAACCGAACCCCTAAACTTCACCCTGAGACCAGAAACCCGACACCGCCACTAAACCCCATACGCCCTAAACACTAAACCTAAAGCCTGAATACTTACCCCTACACCCTGAACCCCAAACCCCAAAACCCACAAGCCAGCCTAAAGCCCACAAGCCGTCCCTCCTAAACCCTAAACCCTAAACCCTAAACCCTATACCCTAAACCCTAAACCCTAAACCCTATACCCTAAACCCTAAACCCTTCCCTCCTAGGTCTCCCGGAGCTTCATCCTGCTCCCAAGGACTCGCAAGGCCCTCGGCCTAAGCTCCCATGAAGAGCGCCTTCTTCGCCTGCCCGGGCTCTTGGAGAGGAGTCTTTTGTCTTTGAGGTGTAGGGCCTTAAGGGTTTAGGACCTCAAGGGTTTAGGGTTTAGGGTTTAGGCCCTTAAGGGTTTAGGACCTTAAGGGTTTAAGTTTAGGGTTTACCCTGAACCCAAAGAAGAGATAAACAAAAGATGGCAAGACAATGCGACAGAGACGAGGATACTTGTGATCCCTGTCGCCGAAGCAGCAGCAGCAATAGTAGTAGTAGTAGTAGTAGTTGTTGTTGTTGCTGTTCTTGCAGTTGTGGCAGCAGCGGAGGCGGAAGAAGCGTAGTAAGAGTAGTCTTCGAGTTACTGGGTAGCACTCGAAATACACATTGAAGCTGAAGAAGAACTACAACAAACAACAGGTACAACTAGGACCTGGGAGATGACAAATGCAAGTAATGTAGGGTCCTTAATAATTAGAATAGGGTCTTGGGGTATATTATACTATAAATATAATAAGGAACGCCAAAATAGTATAGGTAATTGCGCATTATTCGAGCCCTTATATTACTGCTGTTTGTACAAGTAGCAGCAGTCCTACTACTCGTGGCACAGGAGTGCCTTCTGCCGGCGCTTC